CATCGAATATTTAAAATCCCGATTATCATATGATCTGATTTTCGGTAGAAAATACTTCAAACATCTCAGAAGACCTTCATCCGCGGATAGACGGATTAAACTGAAGAACCAGTTTCCGAAGAGCAAACTCGTATTAATAGCGCCGCGGAGGCTCGCAATTAATACGTCATCGTCGAGCGTCGGGAAGAATGAATCCCCGACGAGACATCTGTCAACGGACGCGACCGGCCGCGGTCAGCTCTGCAATTATCGCCGGCCAATGGGATCGAAGCCTGTTAAGCGACAGACCGTGATAGTCGGAACGGCAAACACCTTGAGCGTACACGGGACGCGGCGGAGAATTATTGCGTCCGTGATAAACGGCGCGGCAGATTACGCGATTATGGAAGTAGGTCTGCGCCCTGGCGCGAGCCCGGACGGGTTGCAATCTTGGCCGGGGCAGTTTGCACGCGGACGTCGAAACGCGGCTGCCGCTACAACGCGCCGTGGCGTCTCTAGGCTAGGCTTGGCACTCGTTAAAAAGGAACCTTGAGGTCTAAGGGCATTGCTAGGCTGCCTCGAGCGCCGAGTGATTTACGATCGAGCTTCCCGGGGGCAGGAAATTCGTTAGGGGAATCTCTCAGGATTCGAGATGGGCTCCCGCACGCACCGTGCACAACGTTTCGAGATAATGTTAACGAGTCCGTTGGATAAACTGCGCCCTGCTCTATGGTTCCTCCTTAATAACCCCATGTCGTGACTTCCTTCTCCGAGTGTCGGAATCCGCGGCGGAGAAGCGGAACGTTCCGTCGATAAAGCGCTACGAATTCATCAGCCGGGCCCGCGCGCGGCTGCCTCCCGCAAAAACGCTCGGTAATTCGTGGCGGATGAACGATGCCTCCATTCCCCCCCTGCCGCCGCGCCCGTTCCGCATTCGGATTGAATAAATGGGATTAGGTAACGAGGATTTTGATCGTTCCGTCTGCACTCGCTGGTGGCGGAACGCGGGGAATGCAGCTCTCTGAAAATTGTTCGTGTTTCTCGCGTCGTTAAATACACCCGGTGATCCTCATTATTTTTGATTCTGATCGACTGTATGCTTAAACCGTGGCGCGAATGAGAGAGGGATGATTGGGTAATTCAGGGAGGATATGATAATGCTCGCTGACAATGTAAACGTACGTGTCGTTGGCGATTAGAAGTATCGACAGGAACTCGAGATGGTGTCATCTTCGGGTACGTGTAATTTCATTCCGCTGAAGGGTATCATTAGCGAGGATAATTATCGCAAGATTATTTTAATACTTCCGCGCACTCGACAGATTGATACGTAACTTCACGTGAAATGTAATTGCGGAGTTGCGCAATAGCGCGCAAGAACACCGCGAAGCCCATTACAATCGCAGACGATAAAAAGATGACGCGGCGCGAGGATATTGAACAGCGAATCCAAGGGAAAGCTAACAAAACGATGAAACGCAGCCGCCATAAAGAAGATAAATCGCGCGCGTTCCTTTGCGTTCGCACTTAATTCCAGTTTCCAGGATCCTTTAGATTCTTCCACGGCGTTGATCGACGCCTCAACGATTCCGAGCGCAATCTAAACACAGACTCCCGAGGGGCGATTGCATATCGACTCGGATTACGAAACGATCGGCCGATGATTTATCGCCGTGAAATATCCTATCCCGTCGGTGTACGTACGCGCGTACACAATAGTTTATTACGGAAAAAAAAATTAATGCGCGAAATGCATTATTCTTTTCGCACGACCACGCACGGACGCGCGCCGAAGCGTTCCGCCCGCGATGGAAAATCGACGCGAGACGAGCGCAACCGCGGAACCAAACGAAAATTATCGGACTCGTTAAAGATTACGCGATACCCTCTCGATCCCCGTTACGGTATGTTACTGTTCCGACGATTAACGCTCGCGCGGATGGAATCGGCTCCTCTCTTAGGAAAGCACGATTTTTGTTCGAAGCGCGCGGGATCCAGTGGGGTCGCTCTTCTAACCGGCGTTTATTTCTATTTCAACCTGTTCCGCCGATTCGTTGAAACTCGAATCGCCTCGCGGTGGCTGAATAAATCCGCCGAGCCCCACCGCGGAGCGTTTATTTCCAGCTTCTGCATCGTCCGGCCTTTGATTTCCGCGCGCTCACGCGCCCCCCTCCACGCCCGGGAACGACAGATCGGGCATTCACGGGGAGATCGTTAATCTTCGCAGCGCATTGCTTCGTTCCCCATTAGTTTCCTTCGAGCAACGGAATCTGGCCACGGGTTCGCGCTGCTCCCGGAACGCGGGGCCGGTGCCCACACGGGATCCTTTTTCCGCGCGTATAGAAAGACCGGGAGGGAACATCCCCCAGAGGGCTTGAATTATTTCAATTCTAGGGGAATCGGAGTTTTAAACGCGGAGAGACACGCCCGACGGAATACAAGGCGGCCGGGCCCGAACATCGCCCCGGGGTACCGCGTGTAAAAGTCGACGTTAAACAGCCCCTTTACGCCGTGCCCATTGCCAGCCCCCGCTCCCCATCCCCCAGGCCGTGCCCCACCACGCGAGCAACCAGTACGGTTTTCGTCTTCCTACACGTTATACGGCCGCGGGTGATTAATAACATCTTAGCGCGCGTTAAACGCTCATGCTTCTTCAGATTAGCCCGGGCAAAAATTGCCAAGTTCGAATGCTCGCGCATGCTCGCGGCCACCAAACGAAATAAATCACTTTGGGAAAGGCCCCGGCGCGTTCCTGCGAGGGCACCTCTTTCCTTCGCTCCCTCTTCTCCTCCTGCCGGTTCGCCTCCTCTTTCTCTGGCTCCTCTTCTTCTTCTTCTTCTTCTTCTTCTTCTGGTCCCTCCTCTTCTTCTATCGTCTCGTGGCTGCCTTTTTTCCCGCGTGACCTGAGTTATGGCAAATAAAGGCACAAGAACGAACCGGGGGCCGCCGCGGCTTGAACATATTGTACGCGCCCGTAAATATTATTTTTTGCTATGTACGCGTGACGTCCTCAAGAAAATCCGGGACTTAAATGACCAGGCTCGCCGGACTGCCGCGCAAAAAATTATTTCCATGGGACCCCTGGTACGCGTCCCTTTGAGGGACGTCGTGTACGAAGAAAGGGGTGCGGGACTGATTGCGCGCGGATGAAAGGGGGCACACTTGTAATGAGAAAAATCGTCTGATCAAGAGTTTCGATGCGCGGATATTAAACGCGCCGTTTATGTTTCCCTCGGGATTCCACGCCGTTCCGGATTAATCGAATCGTTGGAAATGATTTGCCAGTGTTTCTGGCTTGTTAGGCAGCAATTTGTCGAGATCGTCGGATGTCTTTGATGTCGGAGTGCGTCCGTGAAGACATCTTGACTGTTTAATGAATTAAATAGAATTTCCGTGCGTCGGCGAATCCGATGAAAGAGCTATTCATTTGAAATCGGAGAATCAAAATCGAGATCATTGGACGTGATCGCGATGAACGTGGAATTCCTGAAACTGATTTCCAATCTTTTGTAATTTACGACGCGCGATTTCATAGATGATCGAATTTGAAAAATGAGCACGATGAAAGGAGATCGTAATTTTACTGGAATCCCGGTGAAATGTGTAAATTCGACGGATCCGACTCGACATAATTATCTGCTAATAACGTCGGACTTCGGCCGGTGTGCGTGCACACTTCGGTACGTACCGGGGAGTTTCGCGAATTCATACGAACCGTATAACAATATCGCGTTCGAATTGAAAATCATTACTTCGGTCCAGTTATCAGCAGTTTCGAGCCGAATTACGCTAAATCGTCGGCACGCATCGGATGATTTTAACGTCATTATCAAACGCGGAAATGCTTAGCGGCGCAGCGCAGAAATCGAATTGCGTGATTAATTATTAATCCCACCCCTTCCGCGTCCCGCCAACCCTTCCCGTGAAGTTAATGCGCGCTGCATCGAAATTACCTGCTGGAATGAGTCATTAAGTCCGATGAAGGCGAAAACATTTCGAAAATATCGAGGGATGATCGCAATGCTCTCTTTAACTTTCAACGATGAATACCGCACCATAAATTCAGGAATATTTATTTATTCCCACGATTTCGCTGCTCGACGGGCGATACTCGCGGCTAGAATCATATACGACAACCCGAGAAACGTTACACGGTGAAACGACCGCGGTATCTACTTCCTTACAAGAAGCATCGCGTATTGTATGCACTTCACTTGATGCAGTTATGCATTTTGTACGAAGAAACGGAGACTCTCAGCGACGTAGAAATGAAACTCGAAATTAGAATGGAAAGTTTAATGAAACAAGCACTACTTTAATGAATGCAGGAGATAAAGAAGGGGATCTTCTCACCGATGAGTCCGACGAGTCGACTGGACGATGAAGGACGGGTACATCGCTGATATCTATGATATTTCTATGATTTTCTATCATGATCTATGATATATCTATGATTTTTCCTTTTACAATGATTGCAAAGGTACAGACACTTCTTTAAGAAATGATTAAAGAACCTGATTTAACAGTACCTAAACTGGAATATAAACCAATTGAAATCTTAATAAATTTACGCTAGTAGCTTTTACAAAGAAATCTTACGAACACAGTTTTAGTGCTCGGTAGTTCAAGTGTTAAGTCAAGAACATAATAACTCAGCGGAAGCACTGAAATTTTCCGTCTAAATTCTGCCGACTTATCGAAAGTGCATTAATCCGTCAAGTACGCAACCCGAGTATATACGATTAAAACATCGTAAGTATCATTTGACTCACGGATGAGATAATAAATCACGCGAGATAATAAAAAACAATCGACACGCCGATCTCGTTCCCGTGATTTACGCGCCTTTAACGCACTCTCGGGGGAAAGAATGTTGGAATACACACGGAAGTGTGCGCGATGGTAGCGGCAGCACGCGAATGTCTCGGTCATTACCGGCGCAGTCAGTTACTATAATACGGTCTCGCGCTTATAAACGCAAGCTGTGACATCGGAATGGAGTGTACGGGAGGCATTCTTACCCTGGGATCTTTCGCCCGTTCGTCCGCTTCTGCTCCAGACTTCCCGTGCTGCCGGCAAGGTTACGTCGCGCCGTCTGGAAGCAATCCAAAAGTGAGTATTACAATTTATGAACGAGTTCAGCGCGGAGAATCTCCCATGGGAATCGTCGGGGCCGTCTACGCAACGCGCACCGCTCGGAATTGTCTGAGCCGCGCCTATTCGCAACAATGTTCGTTGTCTTCGAGCTGGAAATGTATTATTAAGTTGCCACGAATTACGTACCGTTCGTCGTGTAACCTAAATCTTCCAGCGAAATATTTAATCGGATCCCGTTGAAAGCGACAGTAAGCAGATTTTTAACCGAACGGCCGCGTATTTCCTCCGTGCGGGGAAACTAATGCAGATTCCCGTCGGTCCAGGCGTCTTATCCAATGAAATTGAAATTAGCATTAAAGGAGTTGGTATAGGGGCGAGCGCGTTGAACGGAGATTTATGTGACATGCTGATTACCGAAGAAAAGAAGCTGCTTTCCCGTTCGGTCACAATTGTTTCGTTTGTTGTTACGCAAGTGGAATAAATCTTCTAGCGCCAGACGTTGTTCGCCTGGTAATTGACAGGTTGTATATTACAGTAACTTTCTAGTCATCGAGCTTTGTTAACTGGGTGAAACCTAATCAGAAATTTGAAATCGTATTCATAAGACCGAGCGCCGTGACATTATCCGTCCCGCTTGTTGTGCAGCGGAGTCTTGGCTCGCGTTTTTCTATGCGAATGGAATCTCCGCGCGGCAGGTGTGTCCGTCTTGTTACAAAGCCGTACAATCGCCATTAGAGAGTTATTGAAACGATCCGGCCGCGAGGGGACCGAGCCCGATCGATAGATCGGAAAATCATTTGAATCGCGGTCAGCCGCGCGCCGATCTCGCCGACCGAGTCTTCTCGTCTCTATTGAATCGCGCGCTGTCGGCGTCCGTCGCCCGTAGGGCTCTCGCGATTCGCCCCGTTCATTATGCGATGTTGCATTCTACTGGCCGGATAAAATTCTCCTGATCCCTGACAGCCATTAGTCCCGCGCTCGTCAAACGCGAAGCGATAATTAAATGCCGGATCGGCCGCGCCAGCCTCTCGCACGATTTGCAAGCGATACTTACCGGCCCGCTCGTAACTGACGCACGCCAGACAATTGAACGCACCGCCGCGCGCCGCGATGCGTGCCGTGCGGGGGCGGGCATTGTAATTCGGCCGCGGGAAATTTCAAAAGGCGGAAGTCAGGCGGGAATTGTATTTTAGAACGTTACGGGCGGATTTCGCAACCACTTTTCCTTCGCTAGGCGCGCCTCTTGCCTCGTTCCTATTAAATATCGTAATTATATGGATGTTTCGTCTGTATCTCGTCAGTATGATTGACATTCAAGATGCCAGAAGGTTTTTAGCTTAATTTTATCTATGCTCTACTTGCACGTGAAACATAAAGTTCGTTTGTTAACCGGTGTTTGAATTATTTAGAAGGAAAGGAAAGTGTAAATAAAATTTCACTCGTGTGTCGGTTAATTCATGAAGCGTTTTGAGGTAAATTAATCGATTTATGGTACGATACGTTCCTTGAAGATGTTCAAGATCGTTCATCACCTTGATTCATCTATGAACTAGCCATGATTTCAAGCCCCCCCGAAAACACCGACGAAAAACGCGAGAATGGAAGCGGAGGACCAATCCAGAAATCCGCATCGCGAGGTCTTAGCGGTTGAATAATGTAACGGGCATCGGGCTGAATGATTTAAAAGTAAAAGTCCTGGGCGACGTCACCGCGGAGAAGGGTAAGGACGACGACGTTGCCCGAAAGGGAGCGCGAGAAACCAGAAGTTTTATGTTATTCCATACCGGGGAACAGGTCCTTTGGGGTGCGAGTAAGAGATTAACATGGAAAGTTCCAGTGTTGCTGAAGTTTGCGACCGGGTACAGGGACCGGGGCCAAATGAACCGGCGTCATTCTTTTCCCCGAATGAAAATGGAACAATCCCCTCATTCCCCTCATCGCGGAATCAGGATTAAAGTTATTCCCTGTCTGAATTCGAAATTATATCGTTTCATCCGAGGGGCAAACAAGCGGCTGTTCGAGTCATCTTCCTATTGCGATCGGAAGAAGATCGAATTCGAAGTGTCCTTCGTACTTTCCCGATCCCAGACGCAGCAGCCAGATATTCATGTGCAACGCGAACACTCGCAGCGTGTAATAAGAATATCGATTACAAAATGATGACATTTCATTCTTCCATTCTCGAGAGCCGTTCCATACTTCGTATTAAGAAATACTCGCGATGCGAGACAAGAATATCGATTACAAAATGCAGACACGCTCGCCATTCGAGATCTCGTGTGCGGAATCAGAAGGACAACGAGCAACTTTCCTCCATTCAGCCATTAAATTTATATCCAAAGCGGGTGTCACGTATCTCGCGTATCCTCAACAGATATATCACTGACCGCTCCAACATTCTGCCGCGTCGTCTATCGCGCAACAGCTTGCGAGCAGAATAAAAATCGGCATTGTCAACGAGGGGTCGAGTGCCGATAAAAAGCCGAAGTCCCGCGGTCGGGTCTCGCTAACGAACTATTCGCGCCAGAGAAATTACCCGTTTATACTGTACCGCTGTCAGTTCTGGGTCAGCGTGGCGATATTAGAGTTTCCCGGCCGACATTAATAACCCATAAATAGCGGGCCGTGCGCGCGGGGACCCACCGCGGCAAAACTTCACCGACGTGACGCGACGGTCTCGCGCGCGCGCGCGAGCGCGAACGCCGCGCATGCACACGTGTGCACGTGTTACACCGAAGAATTCATTTCACCGGCTCGGCTGCGGGATAAGGAATGGGGTCCCGACCTGCCCGACCGTTTCACGCCTAACACGGTGCGCGAGCCAGATACGGCGTTGTAATAATAAACATCGCAATTGCCATGCATTGCTTTCGCGGTAGTCACGAGACCACTCCCAAAGTCGTTTGTCGGTATCGGCTTGTTGTTCCACGGGCGTCGATCCATCGTGACACCGCTTCCGAGAGAAACTGCCCTATTGACTGCGAAATTAGACTACCGTCCTTCGGATAGGAGAGATATGGAGCTACGAGGGTGTTCGCGATCACCTGGCGCGACGAATTAACGAGTCAACTGCCGGAGACCTGTTAATGAGCTGCTCGATGGCTACGGCGTAGCGAGAAGCAGTTTAATTACTCTGTTTTAAGCTTCGCGCTGACGGGATATGGCCGGGGAATATTCGTATTTTTTACGAACGAGTCGATTGTATAAGGACCACGTGAAATTTCAAATTTTCCGTTCGTATACAGGAAATGTTCCATTCCTCCCTTTATTATCCGCCGGTGTTCGTTCGTATCGAACGTCCGTGTGCAATAAAGTTTAACGAAAATAATGTTTCCAAACTCTTTGTAATAAAATTCGCCGTTGCAATTCCCCGGGGTTACTTTATTTAAAATAAAATACGCGATACATGAAGGCGGAAAGTGCTTTTGTTTCAGTATTTATACAGACGGCCGATAAAAAATTTCCATTTCGCTGTTCCAACTTTGTTTTCATTAGGTACGATGGACAGACATCTTCCGTTTCGCGTGTGTGTCCGTTAATAATGTGAAATTTCATTTGTCGATTGTATTACCCGCCCTGCCGCACCCCCCACCCCCCACGGGATCCGCCGCAGCGACAAGTACATCGCGTAATTAGGATGGAGATCGAACAGATTGGAAGGCGGACTTTAAGTTTTCCGGCCTGGAATGAAATTTTAAATTTCATATCGGGTTAACGGGGGAACGCGCGCGCGGCAGGGCCGAGAAATCCACCCCGAAATAATTTATGGCGGGCATTCACGCGCGCAAACGGTGAAACACGAAGTAATAATATGAAATTCAGTTCTAATTTCCTCGATCTCTGATTCTTATACATTTTCAAAGTGTTTCGCCCTGTCGAGGGGTGTATATTACTCAGATAAGCGGCGGCCCCGGCCCTTTACAGATCGCGTGCATTTTGTAACTGAAACGGTCACGAGGGATAATAATAACGAACCCACTGTAAATTTTATCGTTCGGCCTGATAGTAAAACTGTCTCCGCTCCCGTTCCCCGATACAGGAGATACGCGGAAACGTTCTCCGCCTTTATTACCGAAGCTTATCGCGACCGAAAAATTAGCGACGAGCGAATAATCGCCGACACCGAAGAACGTTCGATCCCGCGCGATACGGAGCCGCGATACGCGTCGCCGTAAATCGGGCCGAAGCGGCCGAACACACCGACAAAATTGCAAATTAGGGGCAAGTCGGCGAATGGGGGGGTTCGTTACAAAGCGCAGTGATATCCGCCGACATTAATCAGACGCCCGATTCCCCCGGAGTTCCGGGGGCTCCTGTTCTTTCCGATACGTTTCCGTTCGTTCACGAAATGTTTCATTTACGGCGACGACCGACGAAACAGTATCCTCGCGCGGCCTTGCGCCCCCGCGGCCCGTATTTTATTATACACTTCGCCTTCAACGCTCTCGCCGCGATCCTTTAAAGTCTTTTACAACCCGCTAAAAGTTTCGTCTATGCACGATTGCTCCTCGACCCTGTTACATTCTTTCGTTTTATCGCCTGAACGGCCTGGATCCTGCACTGAAATCATTTCAAACTGATCCCCGATTTTCTTAACGATCCGCAATGCGGTATACGTATCGTCGGATGCTAGAATAAATAACTGCAATCGGTTCGATAACAGTTCTTAACATGATTTTGCCAGTTGACGATAAACAGATGCAAAATGGGAAATTAATCAATGCTTTAGAAAGAATATTCAACGTCTCGAATGGTTTCTGATTCGAAGGGTTCAAGTTATCGATGTTTAGAGCAACTGGCGCCTAGATGATACAGTACACAAAGTTCAAATGACCAAAAGTCAACGTTTCTCTGAGTTCTATAAGAATTATCTATAGAAAGTCAACCTAAATAGTAACCGATTATCCAACAGTATTCACCTACGCGTCGATAATACCACGAATATTCGTCTTTAATATCCCTTTCCCGTATTGCAGCATAAAGTCACTTCGGAACCGT